CCTCCACATCTTACCCGCATCTTTGTTTAAAAGTGCTTTTCAGTCCATCGGTCCCAGCGTGCTTTCTATAATTAATGCTTCTCTGGTCTCTGGTCAGGTCCCTGCTTACTTTAAGAACGCTGTAATCCACCCGCTTCTTAAAAACCCGAGTCTCGACCCCTCTCTCCATAGCAGCTTCAGACCATCTCTAAACCTCCGTTCATCTCCAAGATCTTGGAAAAGGTTGTGGCTAAACAACTCACAGCTGCTCCTGATGAACAGAACATCTATGATAGCTGCCAGTCAGGTTTTCGTAGAGCTCATTCTACTGAAGCAGCTCTTCTTAGGTAGCCAAGTTCTTGCTTTGAGAGCGCCGATGCACTGAGGAAAGGGCCACACACACACACACACACACACACACACACACACACACACACACACACACACACACACACACAGAGCTCTCTCTCTCTCTCGCTGTTGCAAGTTTAACTTGGAGCTGTGAATTGAATGCTCCTTAATTATTTTTCATCTTTATTCTTTTGAATCAGAATTCAGCAAATTTACAGACAATTTTATAAATAAATGTCTGAGGAAAAAGACCATGTTTAATGTTTAAACTGTTATTTAGGTTTTTGCTTCACATGTATTGTTTTTTTACAGCAGTTTAATTGGCCCGTTGCGTCTTGACAAAAACAATTGAGATGAATATTTTGTGAACATGGCGAGCCCCAGTGACCGGCATTTATACATTTAAATGAATGTTTATTTTCCCGTTAATCAAGCAGGGAGGCACTGGGTCCCATTTTTAGTCTTTGGTATGACCCGACTGGTTTTAAGCCCTGGTCTGCCGGTCCCACGGCACACGTTCGACCACTAGGCTGTGAATGGAGTTGATGTGAACATGAATGGGACTTATTAAGAGAGGGTGAGTGGAGGGAGGGTCTTCGGGGGCGGGGCTCTGGCCACCATTATTCCATAAGTGGCCATGTTCAGTTCGCCGAGCTGCTCAGTCACCAGTAAAACTGAAACCTTGACCTGAGCTGAAGCCGAGTCCCAACAACTTCCTGCAGTTCCGAGTCATTAAAGCTCTGAGAAGTTAGTTTTAATGTTCTGGCCGAACCAACGCAGGAACACGCCTGGAGCTCTGACGACAGCAGCTCTGCGTCACGACTCGTTTCAGTAATGGAAATGAACTGTGAGCTTCGATCGCTGCAGTCGTGTAACTTTACTCTGATCGTTTTACGGTAGAATGAAGTTTTATTGTTGTTTTATTCAAATATTTATCCTGACGACCCAACGGCATAGACCACACACACACACACACACACACACACACACACACACACACACACAAGAAGGATTAGTACCAGACACAGTCTGGAGCAGCAGGAGTCGGATCATCATCAGGAACTCTGTCGAGGTGTTCATTAACTTTTATTGTCTTTATTTGGTTTCGCATGAATAATTATTGTTACTTCCTGCTTTCATTCGTTGACTTTCTTAGATTTTAGTTACTTTTCTGAGACGCGTTTAAATCTCCTGTTGGTGGACAGGAAGTGATGAAGGTGGTTTTATTTACGTGTAAAACTAAAAATCAAAAAGAATTTATTAATAAAATTGTCGTTTTGTCGAAATTTTGTTTGCTAAAATTTTTTTACCTGATTTTATTAACTACATGAATTGTGTTTTTTTTTCTTTTTTGAAACTTAATTAATTTAAGAGACAAAACTTTGTTTAATCTTGATTTAGACTCACCCACCTCTTCCTCACCGTGCTCTTCTTCCTCACCAGGACCTCCAACTTCCATCATGTTCGACTCCTCCTCGTCCTTCTCCTCTCTCCTTCCCCCGCACTTCTCCTCCAACTCCTCCATCCATGACGTCATGGACGACTGCTTCAGGACTACACTGAGCATCACTGTCTTCATCGCCTCCTCCCTCACCATCCTCCTCCTCCTCCTGCCACTGTTCATCCTTGTCCTCTGTTTAGGAGTCCACCTGTGGAGGAGGCAGAGCTCGTCGCTCCACAACGCTGACCTCTTCCTCCATCACTCCATCATCATGTCCATCGACTCGTTTCTGGGTTTCATCATCTTCTTCTGTGGTGGCTACGTGTATCACGGTCTGATGATGTGGGTGGGGCTTTACATCTGGACTGTCAGCAGCGCCGGCCAGGCGGTGCTTCACCTCCTTATGTGTGTGGAGCGCTACCTGGCCGTTCTGAGGCCCATCAGCTACCTGGAGCTGAAGAAGACAGCTGGAGCTCGGATCAGAACCCTCAGCATCAGCTGTGTCTGGGTGCTGTGTGTGGGCTGGGCCGCCGTGGTGTTCCTGAGCAGCAAACAGGTCTACCTCATCCTGGATTACATCATCACAGCCGTTAATGTCCTCATCATCTCCTTCTGCAGCGTTTCTGTCCTCTTTGTGCTAAAGCGTCCTGGTCCGGGGTTGGGGGACAGAGCGGACAGAACCAAGAGGAGGGCCTTCTACACCATCGTGGTGGTCATGGGGACGCTGGCTGTCAGGTTCTCCTGGAACATGATGAACAGCTTGATGGTGAGCTTGGGAGTCCTGGACCCCAACGAGCTGTGTGTGGTTCTGATGTCTGATGTCTGGTTTGAGCTGCCGAGCAATTTGGTTCTACCGCTGATGTTCCTGCAGCAGAAACACAAACTACCGTGTTGGTACCACCAAGCCAGAACCAGAAACACAGTTGGGTCGTAAACAACATGAGAACATGTGAACATCATGAAATCTCTTCTAAACTGAAAGGAACCAGTCCAGAGGCTGCATGGTGGAGCAGCTGCTAGCGCTGGTGCCTCACAGCATGAAGGGTGCAGGTCCAAACCTCAGCTGAAGCTTAGCATGTTCTCCACATGCATGTGTGGAGTTAGCATGTTCTCCACATGCATGTGTGGAGTTAGCATGTTCTCCACATGCATGTGTGGAGTTAGCATGTTCTCCACATGCATGTGTGGAGTTAGCGTGTTCTCCACATGTATGTGTGGAGTTAGCGTGTTCTCCATATGCATGTGTGGAGTTAGCATGTTCTCCACATGTATGTGTGGAGTTAGCGTGTTCTCCACATGTATGTGTGGAGTTAGCGTGTTCTCCACATGCATGTGTGGAGTTAGCATGTTCTCCACATGTATGTGTGGAGTTAGCGTGTTCTCCACATGCATGTGTGGAGTTAGCATGTTCTCCACATGTATGTGTGGAGTTAGCGTGTTCTCCACATGCATGTGTGGAGTTAGCATGTTCTCCACATGTATGTGTGGAGTTAGCGTGTTCTCCACATGCATGTGTTGAGTTAGCGTGTTCTCCACATGCATGTGTGGAGTTAGCGTGTTCTCCACATGTATGTGTGGAGTTAGCGTGTTCTCCACATGCATGTGTGGAGTTAGCATGTTTTCCACATGCATGTGTGGAGTTAGCATGTTCTCCACATGCATGTGTGGAGTTAGCATGTTCTCCACATGCATGTGTGGAGTTAGCATGTTCTCCACATGCATGTGCAGAGTTAGCGTGTTCTCCACATGCATGTGTGGAGTTAGCGTGTTCTCCACATGCATGTGTGGAGTTAGCGTGTTCTCCACATGCATGTGTGGAATTAGCATGTTCTCCACATGCATGTGCAGAGTTAGCGTGTTCTCCACATGCATGTGTGGAGTTAGCATGTTCTCCACATGCATGTGTGGAGTTAGCGTGTTCTCCACATGCATATGTGGAGTTGGCATGTTCTCCACATGCATTTGTGGAGTTAGCGTGTTCCCCCATGCATGTGTGGAGTTAGCGTGTTCTCCCCATGCATGTGTGGAGTTAGCGTTTTCTCCACATGCATGTGTGGAGTTAGCGTGTTCCCCCATGCATGTGTGGAGTTAGCATGTTCTCCACATGCATGTGCGGAGTTAGCGTGTTCTCCACATGCATGTGCGGAGTTAGCGTGTTCTCCCCATGCATGTGTGGAGTTAGCATTTTCTCCACATGCATGTGTGGAGTTAGCGTGTTCTCCACATGCATGTGTGGAGTTAGCGTGTTCTCCACATGCATGTGCGGAGTTAGCGTGTTCTTCACATGCATGTGTGGAGTTAGCGTGTTCTCCACATGCATGTGTGGAGTTAGCGTGTTCTCCACATGTATGTGTGGAGTTAGCGTGTTCTTCCCATGCACATGTGGAGTTAGTGTGTTCTTCCCATGCACGCGTGGAGTTAGCGTGTTCTTCCCATGCATGTGTGGAGTTAGCGTGTTCTCCCATGCAAGTGTGGAGTTAGCGTGTTCTCCCATGCATGTGTGGAGTTAGCATGTTCTCCACATGCATGTGTGGAGTTAGCGTGTTCTTCCCATGCATGTGTGGAGTTAGCGTTTTCTCCACATGCATGTGCGGAGTTAGCGTGTTCTCCACATGCATGTGCGGAGTTAGCGTGTTCTCCACATGCATGTGTGGAGTTAGCGTGTTCTCCACATGCATGTGTGGAGTTAGCGTGTTCTCCACATGCATGTGTGGAGTTAGCGTGTTCTCCACATGTATATGTGGAGTTAGCGTGTTCTTCCCATGCACGTGTGGAGTTAGCGTGTTCTTCCCATGCACGCGTGGAGTTAGCATGTTCTTCCCATGCATGTGTGGAGTTAGCGTGTTCTCCCATGCAAGTGTGGAGTTAGCGTGTTCCCCACATGCATGTGTGGAGTTAGCGTGTTCCCCACATGCATGTGTGGAGTTAGCATGTGTGGAGTTAGCATGTTCTCCCCATGTATGTGTGGAGTTAGCGTGTTCTCCATATGCATGTGTGGAATTAGCGTGTTCCCCCATGTATGTGTGGAGTTAGCGTGTTCTCCCCATGCATGTGTGGAGTTAGCATGCAAATCTCTTCAGATGAGAAGTGAAACATCTTCTGGTTGTAGCCATGTTTGTGTTTGATAGTCCGCTGGCTTTGGCGGCCATCTTTGATCGATTTCATCAACTCATCCTGATGTTCACGACAATCATGACCCAAAAACGAACCCAATAAAGACACATGAACATTTATAACATTAACTTTTAATAAAAAGGAAGTAGCTAGTGATTACTCAGACATGACCAGTTAAACAGGAAGTCTTTAGTGGGTCATTCATGAAGAGTTTATTCTCCTTTAAACTACAGAAGGAACTTTGGTACTAAGACTATTTCAGTACTAAAGGAATTGTGATGAATGGTAATAAACAGTGTCGGGAGTAATGCGGTACAAAAGTAATTAATTACTGTAATGCATTGCTTTTTGCTGTAATGTGCTAATGTAAGGCATTACAGGGAAAGAAAGTGGTAATATTTACTCGGTACAATTGTCAGTAACGCGGTAATTACAATGCATTTTTAAACCCAGAATCAAGATGTGTTCCTTAAAAATTCAAATTGCGGGAAACCCGAAGAAAGATCCAGTGTCTGCATATATTACGTCATTTATGGACTCAGCTTTGCGGGCAGAGAGGACGCCGCGGTAACGGCTCAACTACTCCAGCAGCATCCTGCACGCGGCCGCTGTAACATTCACCAAATCGCTCCACTAAAACAAAATAATTCACTTGCGATCGTTCATATCAGCGCATATTCTCTGGTATTTTGTGCTTTTCTGACGTGCTTTGCCTCAGCTGAGTTAATCTGGGCTCCGGTGATTTCAACTCATTACTGCTGGAGCGCCGCGCATGTGAAGATCCCTTTGGCTGATAGTTAGAAAGTAGGAAGTCTAGGAAACAGTTTTTCTGGAAGATGGAGAAAATATGCAGCATGCAGGAAGGTTAGAGAGAGAAAGGGCAGGAAATTATTCAAATAAAATCAAGAAAACAAAACAAAGTGCTTGAAAAGAAAAAAGTAGGTAGATTTATCCCCAATACACATTTTTACCAGTGAAAAGCAATAATCTATATAAGCATTTAATATTTATACATGTGATAGAATCAGATCACCCCAGAAGTCAGTCCCACATCCAGGGCCGTATCAAGGCATTTGGGGACCAGGGCAAATATAGGCTTGGAGCCCCCACCACCTCACTCCCTGCTCAGGTAATCTAAGATGGCAGCGTGCTGAGAGTACAGTTTGTTGTTGCTTTTATTTAATAAACAATCATTTTAAAGCACTGTTATTATATCTGACTGCTTTTAACAGCAGTCCTAGCTCAGACACCACATCACCTTCCACATATATGTCATGAGCTCACTGAGCGTCACATGACCAGATTCATACTGAAGTTGTATCGGTGAAAGTAACTTAGAGTAATGCAAAAGTAGTGTAATGCCTTACATTTTAAAATCGGTAATATTGTAATGTAATGAATTACTTTAAAATGAGGGTAACAAGTAATAAATAATGCATTACAGTTTGGAAGTAACTTGCCCAACTCTGACAATAAAGGTTTAAATCCTCCGTCTGGTCCTGGTGTTAACTCCAGTATCTCATTAAGATCGTCTGAAATAAGCAAACATGACCGTTGCTGAGACCACACACCTGTTAGAAGTTATTTAGAAGTCCTGATTTGTCCAGTTTAAATGAAGGAACGAGGACGTGGAGACACCAGGTCCAGCAGGTGTTTGTAAACTATCCCAGCTAGCTCCTGAGTCTCAGCAGGAGATCAGGAGGCTCCGGTGCCTCCAGCAGCCTGGTGGCTCTTCATGTGGGACTTCAGACAGTGGCTCTGAGTGAAGCTCTTGTCACACACGGTGCACCGGTAGGGTCTCTCTCCGTTGTGGGTCCTCATGTGGATGTTCAGGTAGGTTTTCCGAGCACACTTCTTCCCACAGATCCCGCAGACGTGCGGTTTGGCCCCCGTGTGCGTCCGCAGGTGCTCGTCTAGGTTGCTCTTCCGTTTGAAGGCCCAGCCGCAGTGGGAACAGCTGTAGGGCTTCTCCCCCGTGTGGATGCGCATGTGGTTCTTCAGAGGGTCCTTGGTGGAGAAGCCCTTCCCACACTGGACGCAGTGGTAGGGCTTCTCGTTGGTGTGGGACCTCATGTGGATGCTGAGCTGCATGCTGGTGTGGAACATCTTGCAGCAGATGTCACAGAGGTAGGTCTTCTGCCTGTTGGTGTGGATCTTCTCGTGTTGTCTCAGAGTGGTCGACAGCTTGAAGCCCCTCCCACAGGTCTGACAGCTGTGGGGTCTCTCTGCGGAGTGCGTCATCTTGTGGCGGGATAACGATCTTTTGTCGCACATGAACCTCCCGCAGACGCCACAGAGGAAGAGTTTACGCTTGTGGTGGCTCGTGAGATGAGCCTTTAACTGGACCTCCAGCCCAAACACCTTCTGGCAGGTGGGACACGTGTGGCCAGGTTCATGGAGTCTCTGGTGGTCCTCCAGGGACTCCTTCAAAGCAAAGGTGGCGTGGCAAACTTCACACAGGTGCGGTTTCTCCCCTGAGTGAGCCGCCACATGCTCGTTCAGGCTGAGGACACTGGTGAAGGTCTCTCCACAGACGGGACAGTCATCCGGTCTGTGCTCCCTCTGAAAAGGCTCCGTCAGAACCTCCACGGACTCTCCGCACACTCCTCCCACCTCCTCCTGCTGGCTCCAGGTGTGTTTGACTGGCAGATCCTCAGATTTGGGCTCATCTCCACGGACTTCCCCGGTGAAAGAGTGGCTGCCTTCCGCCTGAGGGGTGGAGGAGCCGTTTTTAGTCTCCTCAGAGGTCCTCAGACGTGGTTTCATCCTCCCGTCTAGCCTCCCGCTGCTGTCACTTTCCCCTCCACTGTCTCCCCCCTTTACATCACACATGTCTTCTTCACTCCCACCACCAGAGGGAGCCACAGACCCTTCTACTGCCAGTAGAAGCTCCCCGCCAGCTTCACGCTCCCAGCTGCTGACCTCCTGGAGGAGGCTGCTGTGGAAACCAGGATGAGGAGTTAGCACGTGGAAGGTGGTGTTCAGTGGATGTTTACAAACGCTAGCTGTTTGTAAACAGTATGCTAGCCGTTAGCCCATCAACCCTGAAGGATATAAACCACTTCTCTGAACAGAGGCTGTTCTGTGACCTCCTTTACCTGGCCTGTCCTGCGTCCTCGCACGTCTCCATCTCCTCAATCTCCTCCTGAGGTTCTGGTTGAGTCTGGAAAACAGGAGCAAGTTCATCCTGAGAAGAGCTGCGGCAGGCAAAAACCAGAACCAGCCAGACCTTTCCGTCCTAGTCACCTTCACACGGACGTAGACCGTCGACCTCACCGATCCTGAGGACTTCAGGGTCTTCTGGATCTCCTCTGGAGTCACCGTGTGCAGCACCAGAGGCTGAAGTCCCCGTCTCTTGTCTGATGTCAGAACATCAAAGGGTCTGTTGTCTCCAGCCAGCTGGGGGACGGCAGATCTCAACAGGTGAAGGAAGCCCGCCTCCTGCAGTCCAGGAGGACATTTCAGAGAGACCACCGGACTTTTCTTCATCACTGATGGAACCAAAAACTAAAGATGAACAGGAAGTTGTTTCCACCCAACAAAGTCTTCTGATGCAAGACAACCCCACACCACGGGCTTAAGCCACTCCCACTTCCTGTTAGAAACATGCAACAAAGGCTGTTGCCTGTCGACACACACACAGGCTCACAACAGCACTGTGACATCATTTGGTACCAACTGATGTCACAGTGTGCCTCTTAACCAATAACAATGGCAGATTTAAATTCAAATGCAGAGCAGGCTTTGTGCCTGATGACACTGACACTTTTAGGTAGAAAATTTAAGTTTCAGACTCACATTTATAAAGTTTATCAGCAAAAAAAGGTAGATTAGGGGGTGACTTGCTCTTTAAACCTGTTACCATGTTTAGAGAGGACGCGGATGCTGCTGTCCTCCAGGACACGGACTCGCAGGTTTATGGTTCTCTGGTGTCTGCTGGGTTTTCTGTGAGCTGCTGGAAGTGCAGGTGGAGGAGAGCTGAAGGACAAAAGCCAGCAGCATAAACAGAGACGTCCCCTCATCAGGACCTAATGTCCCCTCATAGAGACACACAGAACAGGACCAGGTACCTGGATGGACCGGTCGGGTCCAGACTCTTCAGAGGATCATGGGACTCCTCTTCCTCAGCAGATCCTTGGTTCGTGTCTGTCTGTAAACCTGCAGAAGTCCATTCACATTCATGAACATGCTGTCTGAGCCCTGTTGGTCCAGTACTGTTAAGAAAACAACATCTATTTAAAAATAAAAACAGCCGAATGTTAAACGTAATTGTCCTAAGTCATACTACATTTGTGTTTTGTTACTAAACTGTAGAAATATTACTACATATAGAGAAAATGTAAACTTGGAGGTTCTTAAAGGAAGTTCTGAATGGGATTTCCTTTTCCGGAGCGTGCAGCCCAGCAGACCCAGAACTACTGCGGCTGTGGTTTAGAGACACCGACCCTCGGTGCCGGTGGAGGCCCGGGGCTGCAGCAGCTCCAGCTGCCTCCTCTGAAGGCTGATCTCCCGTCTGAAGCCCGAAGCCTCCGCCTCGTACGCGGCTACGATCTTTTCCACAAACGCTAAAATCTCCTTGGAAGCGGAGGTGAGCCGCTCGTCGACGAAGCTCTGCATGTCCGCCAGAACCTCTGCTGGACCCGTCTCCATCAGCGAACCTTTGGTTAAACGTTTCAGACCGAATCTGTAGCACTTCCGGCTTCGGTGCCTTCTGCAAAACCAGAGGCAGTCGCGTGACGTTGACGGCGCGTTAGCGCCACCTGGTGGCCAGAAACACTCAAGCGCTTCATGAGTGAAGAGGGACGCTGTTGCTTTTGTGGAAACACCTGAGACCGTTCAGCTTCTTCTGGATCTGTCCTCGTGCTGCAGCATCTTGGAAAGATATATATATGTGTGTGTGTGTGTGTGTGTGTGTGTGTGTGTGTGTGTGTGTGTGTGTGTGTGTGTGTGTGTGTGTGTGTGTGTGTGTGTGTGTGTGTGTGTGTGTGTGTGTGTGTGTGTGTGTGAGACCTTCAGTTTACATGAGTTATTTTGTCCTTCATACTTGCTACAACTGGATTTTAAAAAAATATTTTTTTAATTATTTTTATGTTTTTAAGAACAAGGAGACGACCATTGTACTCTAACCAATGTGAAACCTTCATGCACAAACAACTCAACATTAATAAGTCTGTAAAACCTGACAACACTCAACCGATCTTTAAGAGAACAAGTTGATCTTCTTAAAGAGACAGATGCATCATGCAGACACATACACGAGTAGCTACTTCAACATGTGTGCATTAAACAAAATAAATAAGGTATTAGAGCTGATGCAATGTTTAGTGACTTTAACGATAAGGCAGCAGGAGCTCAGGATGGAGAGAGGGTTGTTCAGTGGTCAGAAGGTTGCAGGTTCAATCCCAGCTGTCTCAAGGGTTCTGTTGAGTTCTTGGGCCAGACTCTAAACCTAGCTTCCCTGTGCTGCCTCTGTTCTCCGGCCCCTAGGCTGCAATGGCCAGTTAGTAAGTTACCGACAGCAGTGTGGGAATGTTTAAAAGCACTGTGGGTGCCTTTACAAGAGCTTTACAAAGGCAGTCCATCGTTTTTATTAAATGGTGGGAGGCCCACATACGAGGGCCCCACAGCACTGGGCCACAGGGGGCAGCCCTGTTGGGCCCCCACATGGCCCCAGACGATGGGACCCACACGTGTCCTACATCTCCCAACGAGGGTGGGCCCAAATGAAGCAGTGCTTTGTGGATCCCACACAGGGGTCCAAATGGGCATTTTTGCTGGGCAGACACAAACAGGTGGGTGGGGTCATCTGACACACCTGAGGAGGAAGAGGCGGGGCTAGTTCATGTTGCACTGGCACAAACTAGCTCATCAGGAATCTGAACGTTTTTCCTCTGAATCGCTCTGAGCTGATCTGGACCTGATCCAACCCAGTTCACCAGCATCTGAGACCGCTAGCTCCGCCCCCATCACACTGGGGGGGGGGGGGGTGTGGGAGGAAACTTCCTGTAGGTGAAGTGTTGTCAGAGTGTCAGGAGATGATCAGCAGAGGAACGTGAGAGCTGCTGGGAGCTGATGTCCTCAGGGCCTTTCTAAGTGTCTCCTAGTTGGTGCTTGTGGACCTTTGACAGGAAGAAGATGTTTGTGGTGTTTGTGGTCCTCCTGCACGGTAAGATCAGCTTCCTCTCTCTGCTCTGATCATCCCTCACTTCAGTCCCACTGCTGCTCCAACACCGTTCTCTCTGGAAGCTGTTGAACTGGCCCACAGGAGACCATCAGTGGATTCTTCTGGGTGGACCTCAGACCAGCTGCTGCGTTTGTCTTGTTGTTCTGACTCGGCTTCACGTGGGACCAAGCTGGATGGATCCTTCGGCGGGGTTCTGGTCTCACGTGGAGCTCACACTCACTTTAGATCCTCTGCTGCTGCTTTCAGCTGACAGTTCACCACCAACAGATCCGAGATCAGCTCTGACAGAGTCTCCTGCTCTGAATGATCGCCAGCATCAACGTTTTTACCCTTGTTTCTATCAGATGTTCTTCCTGTGTGGGCGTGGCCAACCTGCCCGCCTGGTCGGCCCAGAAACAAACACGTGAGACCAGGCAGGCAGCAGGGATCAGAGGGTTCACGCCTTACAGAGCTTCTGCTTTCCCTTCAGGGCTGGAATATGTCAAGGTCACGTTTATTTCTACAGCACGCTCGTCATTGCTCCCGCGGCCCAAAGTGCTGTACAACACACGAGGTACCACAGCCAGAAAGTAGGACTTAACCCATAAAACCATAATAATCAGCAAGCTAGGATAAAGACAACATCCCGTCACTCAGTTGTAAAATCAATAAAAATGAGAAAGAATGACAAAAATAAAATCATCCTACATGAAAGCCAGGCTGAAGACATGAGTTAAGCTAGGGCTTAAAGACATCCAGACGCTAGAGGTCCTGATCTGCAGAGGAAGGCTGTTCCAGAGGGCCGGCCGCAGAGAAAGCCCCGTCTCCTCTCGTCTTTAGGCCGGCGTTTGGAACTGACACAATAAAAACCGAGAGCCCGACCGCAAATCCCTGGCAGGAGTGTAGGGTGACAATAAATCGTCTGTATAAGGAGGGGCCAGACCGTAAAGTGATGTATAAACAAGAAGCAACAGTTTAAACTGAGTCCTGAACGCGCTGGCAGTCAGTGAAGCACTGGAGAGATGTGGACATGCTTCCTTGTAGCTGTTAAAAGGCGGGCTGCTGCGTTTTGAACCGGCTGTGGGCGGTTCGAGGAGGAACGACCCGAACATTTACACATCCTGGATAAGAACTCGGATGTGAGACGGTGGATACTAGAATGGAAGATCTCATCTGTGAAATCTTCCCAACAAAAAAAGACAAAAAGCGGTCGTCATTTTTGAGCAGGTGTGCGAGTTCTTCCCATGCTGGGATTCTGGGACTACTGGTGGAAACCAGGTTGCACCAGTAGTCCCAGGTGAGACGTTTAACATCGTTTACGAAACCCCCGCATCGCATTCTGTCACCGTAACAAACTAGCTTCAGTACAAAATGATGCAGAAATAAGATAAATGGATGTATTTGTGGAGCACCATCTAGGGTTCTGCAACCCCCCAAGGCACTTTACAACTAACCAGTCATTCCTTCATTAACACACACATTGACATGCTGGTGACCAGCTACGGTGTAGCCACGGCTGCTCTGGGCTGCACAGTGGTCCGGTCTTGATGTCGCAAAGCCTGGAGGATCCGACTAGAGAGGTGACTTGACTTTAATCAGGCGCCTCAACTGGAAAATGACTATTTCACCACCGAGTCACCTGGCTGTCCAGGTCCATGTTTGTCCTCTACCGTCCTCCTCGTGCTCTCAGGTCTGCTCCTCAGCGGTTGGTGAATTTCTTTTTTGGTCGGACGAATTCATGCTGACCACACATCACCACTAGGGGATGCCAAATCACCATTCTTATGATGTAATCCACAGTTTGTACCTCAACCCTATGACGTTCAAGAGCAAGCCACCACCAAATCAACCGTTTTTGCTGATAAACTATATAAATGCGTGTCTAATCGTGCCACACACACGTGGAGTCAGCAGTTTGTTCTGCCTAAAACTGTCAGCGTTGCACCGTCGTCAGGTAAAACCTCTGCACTGCATTTGAATTCAAATCAGCCATCGCTATTGGCTAAGAGGTACACTATGACGTTAGCTGGTACATTATGATGTCATAATGCCGTTGTGAGCCTGTGTGTGTGTGTATTTTTTAGCGGCTCCGCCCTCTTGGTCTGCCAGGCAACAGCATTTGTTGCATTTTTCAAACATGAAGTAGGAGTGGAGGAAGACTCTGGTGGGGGGTGACTTGCTCTTTAAAAACAAGGGCTGAGAGAAAGCCAAATACACGTACCGACACAAATACTGTAGCAACAATGCAACTCTACATGTTTAATTTAAACTGTTTATTTAGCTTTCATGTCTTTGCTGGGTGGGCGGGGTCAACCGGTAGTTCCATTGTATTATTATGGTGTTTATGGAGGCTCCCGGGTCATTGTGAACCTCAACATAGTGTCGTGTGTCATAGAGGCTCCGATGAAACAGGCTACAGGTGAAACAGTTGTTCACATTTACTGTAATAATGATCATTTATGTCAGTGACCCTTGATGAGGAACGGTATATTTCTGTCCTAAGTGTCCCAGCAGGTCTCAGCTGTGGAGATGTTCCAGGGGGACCAGTTCCTCCTGCTGCCCTGTGGGTTCCCCACCTTTGACCTGGAGAACCCCACAGTGGTCTGGACCCGTCAGGACCTCAGTCCTCCTACTGTCCACCAGCGTCTGCCTGAAGGAGACCAGCTGAAGGACCAGAACCAGCTCTACAGAGGCAGAACCTCCATGAAGGCTGATGCTCTGGACTCTGGAGACCTGAGTCTGAACCTGACCAACCTGCAGCTGTCTGACTCCGGAACCTACACCTGCTCCGTCACAGACTTCGGAGAGGAATTGAGCCGGACCGACGTTGAACTGAAGGTCAAAGGTCAGAGGTCACTGTGTCCTTCATGTGTCTCTTCAGAGTGTTTTCCATCCTGGGCCATAGCTATCCTGGTTCTCCTGGTTCTGATCGTCTCTGCAGGTGTTTTATTTCATCATCGGCACTATTTCATGTCAGGTGAGTCTCTAAATCTATTTATGAATCCCTTCATTCTCATCCGCTTATCCTGAGTCGGGTCGCGGGGGCAGCAGCCGAAGCAGAGGCCCAGACTTCCCTCTCCCCAGCCACTCGGGCCAGCTCCTCCGGGGGAATCCCAAAGCGTTCCCTGGCCAGGTGAGAGACATAGTCCCTCCACCGTGTCCTGGGTCTTCCTTTAGGCCTTCTCCCGGTTGGACGTTCCCAGAAAACCTCACCAGGGAGGCGTCCAGGAGGCATCCTAATCAGATCCCAAGCTGCTTCGACTGGCTCCTCTCGATGTGGAGGAGCAGCAAGTCTACTCCGATTCCCTCCTGGATTACTCAGCTTCTCACCCTACCTCTAAGGGAGAGCCCAGACACCCTGCGTAGGAAATTAATTTCAGCCGTGATCTCGTTCTTTCGGTCACTACCCAAAGCTCGTGACCATAGGTGAGGGTAGGAACGTAGATCGACCGGTAAACCGAGAGCTTCACCTTCTGACTCAGCTCTCTCTTCACCACGACAGACCGGTACAACGCCCGCATCACTGCAGATGCAGCACCGATCCGCCTATCGATCTCACGCTCCAGTTTTCCCTCACTCGTGAACAAGACTCCTCCACTTGGGGCAGGACCTCATCCCTGACCTGGAGAAGGCCTTCTACCCTTTTCCGAATCAAGACCATGGTCTCAGATTTAGAGGAGCTGATCAGATAAGGAGCAAGCATCTAAATATTGGCCCAATAAATCGGCAGTACTTACCGGTTACTGGCTGACCATGACTGTCGCCTATCAGCACTGGTGTCGACAGTGGAAAACACTCGGCTGCGAACCGCTCCAGCGAAAGCTGAAGATCAGGTTCTGATGAAGCCAACAGGACCACATCATCTGCAAAGAGCAGAGACCTGATCCTCAGGCCACCAAAACGGATGCCCTCCACACCTTGGCTGCACCTAGAAATCCTGTCCATAAAGGTTCTGAACAGAATCGGTGACAAAGGGCAGCCTTGGCGGAGTCCAACTCTCACTGGGAACGAGCCCGACTTACTGCTGGCAATGTGGACCAAGCTCTGACACCGGTCATACATAACAGCCCGTATCAGAGGGCCTGGTACCCCATACTCCCGGAGTACCCCCCACAGGGCCCCCCGAGGGACGCGGTCAAACGCCTTCTCCATATCCACGTTCAACATAATGCTCTTGGTCAGAAGGTGAACTGCTGTGGTCCATTGACTATTGCTGTCAGAACCTTCTCCATCAGGACCTGGATCCTAGGGGTTCTGGTCCAGTGGGTCCAGGTCTGTCAGAACCAGAAACTCTACAAACTGATGTTACGACCTGGCTCATGGGACCACAACAAAAGGAGGAGGTCTGGTGTGAGTTGAGAGTGTTTTTTTTCCCGTTACTCGAGGCTCTGCTGATTAATGAATAAAACAAAACACGGCTCAGACTGGGCATGACAGGCTGGCTGCTCCGCGCAGCAACCCAGCGGGGGTCCCTCAGCTCACACACAGGATGGATACCATCATGGAGCATGCCAGTGCCCAGAGTGGAGGGAATTAAACCCCATCTGTTGTCCAACTGGATACTACTGTGACCGCTGAAGAAAGGAAGAAAACAATCTTTTCTATAGCGCCTCTCAAGATTAAAATCATGAGGCGCTTCACAAAAACATTTTACATGAAAAAGATTTAAAAAAAATGATTAAAATATGTTAAAATTTAAAAAAATAATGAAAATTGTGAATTAAAAAATGCAAGGAAAGGGAGAGAGAAAAATGAATAGAAAAGAGGGAAATCAATGCACCCCAGGAGCGGCGGGATAAGAGAGGAATGAGGAGAGGGTGATGGAGGTCACACCAAAGCTTGAACAAGTGAGGTTTCAGCTGCTTTTTAAAGGAGACCTCTGAGTCCACTGATCTCAGGCGCAGGGGGAGAGAGGTCCAGGGACCAGACCTCAGGGACCTGCTGGGGTGGAAGGACTGAAGCTGCAGGAGAAGCGGGGTGAGGTGGGTGTGTTTGGAGGACTTGGTCAGAAGCCGAGCACAGGCGTTCTGAACCACCTGTAGACGGTTCAGGGAGGTTCTGCTCAGACACGTGAAAAGAGAGTTACAGTAGTCTAAGCGTGAGGAGATGAAGGTGTGGAGAACTGTCTCAAGTTCAGAGCGAGACAGAACGGGACTCAGCTTAGCAATGTTCCTGAGATGGAAGAAGGAAGAGCGAACAAGAGAACTGACATGAGAATCCAGGGTGAGAGCTGGGTCAAAGGTCACACCAAGAAGGTTTGGTGTGGGAAGCAAGCTGACCAAGAGAGTCTCTGACTTTGGGAACCAGCTTGTCTGGGGCACAGATGAGGATCTCAGTCTTATCTTCATTCAGCTGAAGAAAGCTCCCACCATCCAGGTTCTGATAGAGTCTAAGCAGGTGTGTAACAGCTGCAGCTTAGACATCTCATGGGGCTTAAAGGAGATGTACAGGTGGATGTCATCTGCATAAAGATGGTAGGAGATTCCTTTGAAGGAGCTCAGGATGTGCTGAAGAGGAGGCAGATAGAGGAGGAAGAGCAGAGGCCCCAGCACAGAACCTTGTGGGACACCATGGGTAAGAGAGGTGGTGGAGGACCTAAACTTGGAGACGGCCACAGAAAAGGAGCGCTCAGAGAGATGAGAGGAGAACCACTCCAGAGCAGATCCTGATAGGCCGACCCAGTCTCTCAGCCTCTCCAGTAGCAGGTGATGGTCAACAGTGTCAAAGGCTGCAGTCAGGTCCAGCAGGACCAGAACAGAACAGTCCCCTGCATCACTGTGAGTCAGAAGGTCATTAGAGACCCTAAGAACAGCTGTTTCAGTAGAATGAGCTCTACGAAAACCAGACTGGAAGCTATCATAGATGTTATGTTCATCAAGAGCAGCTGTGAGTTGTTTAGCCACAACCTTTTCCAAGATCTTGGAGATGAACGGAAGTTTAGAGATGGGTCTGAAGCTGCTATGGAGAGACGGGTCGAGACTCGGTTTTTAAGAAGCGGGTGGATTACAGCGTTCTTAAAGTAAGCAGGGACCTGACCAGAGACCAGAGAAGCATTAATTATAGAGAGCACGCTGGGACCGATGGACTGAAAAGCACTTTTAAACAAAGATGAGGGTAAGATGTGGAGGTCTTCATAGAGTTAACTAGTTTGGTTAACTCAGGTAATGACAATAAAAGCTTCTTGATTACCTTGAATCAGCTCCTAAAAATCCAAATCCAAGGGGAGAAGGCCTTGTTTGGGTCAGGACCGAGGTCCTGCTGCCAGTGGAGGAGTTTAAGTTCCGGTTTCTGTCAGACCTGAGACGGACATGTCGTGGGTTCAGGTCACCTGGTTGGCCCATGCCCTCCACCACCAGAGACAGGGAGGAGACGGCCATGTGTCCATCAGAGACCACGATGATGATGATGGTGAAGCTGATCTTTGTTCACTCAGTTTACCAGGTGGAGGTGGAGTCGGGGGTGGAGTCTGTCCTGCTGCCGTGTAAAACTACAGTCCAGCTGTCTAAAGTCGTGTGGAGAGACAATGATCATAGGAAGGTCCACGTGTTTGAGAACAGTTGTGATGATCCTGAAAAACAGCACGAGTACTACAGGAACAGAACCGAGATGAAGAAAATCCTGCTGAGAACTGGAGACCTCAGCCTGACTCTGAACTGTCCCAGAGACAGCAGGACCTTCACCTGCAAAGTCTTCAAGGACAGAAAGGTCCTGATGAAGAAACAAGTGAACCTGAAGGTCAAAGGTCAGTGTTTTATCTCATCTTTATCTCCAGGATTTGACGCTGGGTCATCACCAGTGTGTTTCTGTGGGTGTTTCTCAACGTCAAGGCGCCTGGCCTTGTGAGGCGATGTCTTGCAAGGCCAGGTGACTTGCTTACGAGGACGCTGTCCTTCCTTGGTGAAAGAAAACGGTTAAATGGAACAGACTTGCATCACGTGACCGCGGCTTCCACGGCGGTCACGTAACGTCATGTGACACGAGACACAACGTTATATTTTATACGTATTAGTTTCAATATAAATATACAACAAGCCTTTTACTTTTTAAATTGTGTACATAAGTGAGTTAGTACCCGCTAGCCGCCGAAGCTGCAACTACTAAGCAACTAACCAACCATAGATAACTTCTTTAGATCTAAAAGAAACATTTAAAATTAGTTGCCTGAGTTTAAATTTGAAATATTTCCCCGAGGTAGCTGCTGGCTTCTGATCCGCCGTCCTTCTGGAAATACCGCGGTGTATTCTGGGTAATTTATGACCAAGGCTAGGCTACAAGACACCTCCCGTGTGTCCTCGCTCAGCTAGCTAAACGGCTAACAAACGGAGAACACACGCCTCGGTAGAACGTGAACATTGGAACACGTCTTGGCGGCTCCCGATGATGTATCTCCTAGGCGACCGGGGCGGGGCCAAGACATCAAGGCAAGGCTCCTTGGCATTGAGAAACACCCCCTGTTTCTGCTTCTCACCTTTACTCTTCATTATGATATCAATAAATCCCACATAGATCATCTTAGAACTTCAGCATCTTTAGCCAGATGTGACCTGGGTGTGGGAGGAGCTCACACACACACACACACACACACACACACACACGCATGCACGCACACACACACACATGTTGCTTCTGATAGAGCTGACTCTGTCCCTCCCCCGGGACGGACCTGCGAAGGTCGTAACCGTGATGATCTCTGTTCTCTCAGTTCCTCGGGTGGAGGCGGAGTCAGGGGCGGAGTCTGTCCTGCTGCCCTGTAAAACTACAGTTCCGCTTCCTGAAGACGTTAGAGTGGAGTGGAGGGACGATACACTCTTTAACAGGAAGATCCACGTGTTTGAGAACGGTTCCGATCAGCCTGGAGAACAGTACGAGTTCTACAGAAACAGAACCGAGATGAATCAGAACCTGCTGAGAACTGGAGACCTCAGTCTGACTCTGAGACGTCCCACAAACTGGGACAGTGGTAACTTCACCTGCAGCGTCTCCAGCAGGCAGGGCAAGGTCCTGATGATGAAACAAGTGAAGCTGAAGGTCAAAGGTCAGTGTTTTATTGTTGTGTAGAGACGTGGTCTCCAACTGCTCTGGTGTCACTGGTCTGTAGAGAAGATGTGAACTCTGACTGGTTTCCAGTGTAGAGAACAATGATCATCCTGAGCCATCAGACCTCTGCTGGTGTTCATTCATCTGATCCAACTATTCTTCCTTAGCATGAAGATGCTGGCAGTGATCCTACTGAAGGTTCTGCTAGGTTCTGGTTCCAACCTGTCTGGGCTCCAGTCAGCTGGCGGTGATGATGATGATGATGATGATGATGATGATGATGTTCCTTGTTCTCTCAGTCCAGCAGGTGGAGGTGAAGGAGGGGGCGGAGTCTGTCCTGCTGCCCTTCAGAACAACACCTGACCTACCAGGAGACTCTAGAGTGGAGTGGTGGGAGTGCAGCAATACCAGGACGGTCCATCTGTATGAGAATGGTTCTGATCAACCAGAAACACAGGACCAGCTCTACAGAACCAGAACCAGGATGAGTGAAGACCTGCTGAGAACCGGGGACCTCAGTCTGACTCTGGGGCGTCCCACAGGGACAGACAGTGGGACCTACAGATGTGAAGTCTCGAGTGGAGGAAAGTTAGTGAGAGGTACA